AAGGACGGCATGCACGCGCGAATACAGCACACATGCACAGACAACTTCCAGGACACCAAAACGGCATGGTAAAGATTTTCCTGTTCCCTCTAGTAATATAAAATTTTAACACCTAAAAGACAAATTATAAAAATGAAACAAAGGTGTGTGTTGTAATTCACAGGCTTCATCCAGCATATTAAGGAAAGAAAAAATAAATTATTTAAGCAGGATGGTGGACCCACAAATCTAAGTATTCCAAATACAATATATATGAAAAGTATTTATCTGTATACTGTCAGAGTATTTATATCGGCAGACATTTTGTGCTATGATAGAAACTAAAAGTGTATATTCTGAGTCACTCTGAACAGACCAGACTCCATTTTGTTATTTTAAGTTAACAAAGAAGACACTAGATTTCTTTCTGTAAGACTGGCCTCTTTGCCAGAGCTAAGGAATGCATAGCATAGTATAAACAAGTGATAAGAAGAATATAATCAAATCTAAACCCAGACAATTGTGACAGAGAAGATTAAATAATAAAATTTAACTGTCTATATACATATAAGGTACCATTGTATGGAAAAGGGTAAACTTAGTTCATGATCTGTCATATCAGAAATTATAGCAGATTTGCAGACACATAGTCTGGACAAAATTTAAGAACCCTTTGATCTTTGAAGGATACGTAAGTTATAGCCACTATCTAGATAGGCCAAAATGACGTCAAAATAGCCACCAGGAAAAGTTAACTCTTTCCTGGATAGGTATGTTTAGTGGGACAAGACTGCCCTCTATAGACCAAATACCTAAATTGCGATCTGGAAGATAACCACACCTCTAGTGCTTCTATTGAGTTATCAACTGATGACGTACAGAGAGTCTGGCCCTTTAAAAGTTAAGACAAAGGGAAGATAGAAGGAGGCAGATGCAGGACATATGCAAAGGAGAGGAGAGAGGAATTGGAAGTTTGGGGACTCCAACTCGGACAACATCTGAGACTAACACTCTACTCCTAAAACTCTAACACTTAGAATTTACTGACTTTCACCAACACCTCCATGCAGAGAGACATCCAAATAAGTTCCTGAGACTATCTACCAATCGGATGAAATATCTACTCAACTGGTAATTATCCTGGTTTCATTTAATTAATTAAATTAATTAAAATGTATTAATAGCATTATATATGACTGGATAAAGCACGGTCAGATTTCCATATTAAGAAATCTTAGTTAACTAAAGAATATATAGTTATAAACATTCCATTCTGCAAGTGGAATTAAGAATAATTATATATTGATGTGATATTATCACGTGTTAGCATACCGCTGTTTTTATCCAGGTGTATTGATTTGCTCTAAATTAAGATAGATATCTTTTAGACAAATTAAAAATCTGCTTATATAATATGGTAGATTCTCTTATTGGATGGTTTCAGGAGATGACTAATGAACTGGTTTAAATGTTATTTTATTTAAAAATTACATAAGAATAGATCTTAACTACCTAGGAGATCTAGCCAGCATTGAAAGGGTTATTCTAACTGTCTGCTAAACTTTACGACCTTATGCTGCACTCTGAGGAATTCTGTTCTTCCCTGTGAAAAGTTTCACTTTCAGTCTGTGAAAGCTAGTCATAAATCGTGTAAGTCTTGACAGATAATGCCGTTTAGCCATTGAAACGTAATACCCATTCCTTTGTATTGCATATCATTTTATACTGGATATTCATTGATTATTGTCATGCATGTTACATGTTATTATTAATTAATTTGTCATCATAAATAAAAATCTATTTTTATACATTGTGATATTAATTATATGAAATACATTCCACTTAACACGATAAACGTTCTTTGGGATCTGAGAATTGAATTAGTGGGCAATTCTCACTGTTACTATTATTATCCCATAAATATCCCCACAATACATACATGTGGGCTGTCAATATGGAGAAATCTAAGGATGTTTCCAGGATATATATTCTTCTCGACACTTCCTGCTACCTCTTGGTCACTGCAGGGAAAAAGAGTTTATTGGCACTCTTCTTTTGCTACCCCTAGGGTCACAGCAAGCAAGGGGGTATCTTCAGGGGGACACCTTTGCACAGGGCCAGGTACTGAAGCTTCCCAAGGAAGAGAGGCTGAACTTCCTTGGGGGCAGAAGGTAAAGACCCTCAGGTAAGCCAAAAAGAAAAAGTGATTATAGTCCTGAAAAATACTAATTTGGTCCTATAGGGATAGGACAGGAACAAAAAGACTGAGGTAGGAGGGGGTATTTGTACCTTTATTTTAATTGGTTCCTGTCTAATTAGAGATAGGGGAGGAGCTACCCCTTGTTGTGCTGCCATGGATATGGCCAGGAAATAGGTTTCTACCAGCTAATACGCTGGTTTGCCTTACATAGTAAGGTTTAGAGACTTTGTATGTGAGATAAGTAGCACTGCCCCTCATATAAGAAATAGATACATCTGTTTGGTTAAAATCCTCTTCCCATCTTGGAAACCTAGATAGTATGTACTATTGAGTAATACTCAACTTTATAATATTAAATCACCGGATTATGAAAAAGAAGAAATAATCCCAGAGTAGGAAAACAGAAAAAACAAACACTAATAGTATAGGAAACCAAATGATGTAATAAGATGACAAGACCTACATCAGGGCTGCCCAACAGGTAGATCCCCGGATGTTGTAGAACTACAACTCCCATGATGCTTTGTCATTCTAAAGGCATGCAAAGCATCATCGGCATTGTAGTTCCACAACATCTGGGGATCTACCTGTTGGACATCTCTGATCTACATAGATAGAATAGTAGGTGTGCAGGGCACTAAATAAGAGTCAAAGAGAAGACGAGTTTACTGAGAACAAGACAGAGAAGGAATAGACACCTTGCTCTATGACCAGGATTGTAGCTGAAAAATATGGAAGAACATCAACTGTTTAGCTGAATTTACATTCCCTTGTTTCCTTCGACCAAGTTTTTATACTTTCTACTGCCACATAGTATGTATTATATGCATAGAAAACAAATCAGGGAAGTATGTGTATAAATAACAGCAGCTGAAGGGTCAATACATGTTATATAAGAAGAAAGAATCCAAAATTGAAAGTATTGCAAGTATTGGGTGACTCCATACAGATATGTTTGCATCTCGTATCCCAGTGATCAGTGGGCTGAGGGTATGGGGAGCCAGACTCCAACTGGTAAGTAAACCTTATAAAATTAATTTTACAATAAGCTGTAGAGCAGAATTCTAGAAGAAACATAGAAACATAGAATGTGACGGCAGATAAGAACCATTCGGCCCATCTAGTCTGCCCAATTTTCTAAATACTTTCATTAGTCCCTAGCCCTATCTTATAGTTAGGATAGCCTTATGCCTATCCCACGCATGCTTAAACTCCTTTACTGTGTTAACCTCTACCACTTCAGCTGGAAGGCTATTCCATGCATCCACTACCCAATCAGTAAAGTAATACTTCCTGATATTATTTCTAAACCTTTGTCCCTCTAATTTAAACTAAGTCCTCTTGTTGTGGTAGTTTTTCGTCTTTTAAATATAGTCTCCTCCTTTACTGTGTTGATTCCCTTTATATATTTAACCCCTTAAGGACTGGACTGTTTTTGCGATGTTGTACATTTGCGACCAGGCATATTTTTACACTTTTGTGGTGTTTGTGTTTGGCTGTAATTTTTCGCTTTCTCATTTACTGTTCCCATACAAATTATATATTGTTTTTTTCAGGACAAAAAGGTCTTTCTTTACATACCATTATTTATATAATCTCATGTATTTTAATTTAAAAAAAAATAAAAAAAAATATGATGAAAAATTGAAAAAAATACATGTTTTTTGACTTTTACTTGAAAAATC